ACCATTACTACCTTCCATTGGTACATCAGTATATCTGTGGACTTACAATTTTAGAAATCGGGTTTCGATACCTGTGGTGGGCAGATCACAGATAACTCATTGTGTAGCTTTGTGCTTAACTTCAAACGAAAAATCGACCACTGCTCTTAACAGTTTTTTAGGGTGTTTAACTAACAGTGTTGATAAAGTCTTCTCGACCATTACTCTGAAACTACTGTTTTCAGAGCATCTCTACCTAACTGTGTTCACAAAGTCATCTCCACCACTACTATGAAACAACTGATTTAGGGTATCTTTAACTAACAGAGTTGATAAAGTCTTCTTGACTACTATTCTGAAACTACTGTTTCCAGGGTATCTATAGCGTTTGTAATCAGTTGACGAGATTGAAAGTGTTATCCAAAATAATACCTCTTTTTCTGAGCATGCAACTAATCCATTCGGTGAATCCCCTCTTCTTCAAAAGCATAGTGTTTAGGTCACTGAACATGCTCGCCGTTTTAGCAATGGGTGCTTTACGGTCGATATTATTATTGGTTGGGAATGGGTAGCTCAAGAATTGGTGGTGGGTGGAGTTTACTACTTGTTTTCCTTCTAGTCTATTCTTTCAGGTACGGCTGGTGCAGATAGCTCTAATAGACTTTCACAAAAGTTAACAAAGAAAAAACTCTTCTTCAAGGAATGCGTTAACCAAATTATCATGGAGTAAGAGCATTAGCATGCATTATTCTGAAGTTAAGACCAATTGCATCCCATTTAGCAATTGATACGTAAAAATAATGTTGTTCCACGTTTCGTTGGACGACCTAGTGTTCTTCGTAAAAGTGGAAGTGATATTTTATGTCTTGCTGTGAGTGGAAAACAGTTCACTAGGTGTCAGACTGTTTGGTTTCTTATGAAATAGTTGTCTTTCATCACTGGGCGTCTGGCAGACAGTTTGGTTTCTTGTGAAATAGTTGTCTTTCATCACTGGGCGTCTGGCAGACAGTTTGGTTTCTTGTGAAATAGTTGTCTTTCATCACTGGGCCCAAACTGTCTGCCAGACAGACATCCAGTGATAAAAAGACAACTATTTCACTAGAAAGGCAGACAGTTTGGTTTCTTGTGAAATAGTTGTCTTTT